GGCCGCCAGCAGATGAGCCGCGCGGCCGCCTCGCGCAGACCGTTGCTCTTAGGTTCCGTCTCACGGCGTTTTAATTTATTTTCACTGTCGCACGCATAGATCCGCGAGGCACCGAGGCCTGGGAGCACCGACGGGAAGTCCCACGTGTCCAGAGAGCCCGGGCTGCGCCGCGTCCACGCGCAGACCCGAACTGACCCTGAAGCCCCCGGTGCCACGGTGGGGGCTTTGGCAGCTATGGAAGAACCAAAATAACAGGGAAGAACATCACAGAGAGACAGTGCAGTGTAGCTTTAGGTGCAAAAAGGAAAAGAAAATCCCCCCACCCCCCACTGCATGAAGGGTTTGGAGGTCATCCAAACTTTATATCAAGAAACTGGACAAGTTAAGAGCAATCACGAACTGGAATATCGCCTTAAAAATCAAACTGCACGGAGCAAGCTGACACGGAGACAAGATTATATCTTTTAATTGATCTAAAGCGTTGTAAATAAATTGTTCTTGACATATCTAGACAGGGGTTAAAGGGTTTCTTTGCGACATGCAGAACTGTTCGCCCATGTCCTGTTTCCATGGCTCACCCGTGGCATCCATCTCGGTGTCAGCGGCAGCACTCCCCGCGTGCTGCGGGATAGGTTAGAAATCTAGTGAATTCATTGGTGTTATGCCATGTTGACTGCCATTTCTGTGATCAAATCATATTTCTGTACATTTTCAGTGGTAGGAAAAAAAGATTTTAAACATGGTATCCTAGGGAACCGTTTGCCACAAGTCAGAATTCTGCAGTTTAGCTCATAGCTCTTCATTGGTTTTCCTCTAAAATATGGATTTTATAATGGAAGGACCACAATGTGTTTAATCAAGATTGGCAACGCTGCAGTTCCTCTATGAAAAGGCTTTTCTGTTGTCCCAGGCTAGCAAAGAGAGATAGCTTCTTTGTCAGCAATGTTGTATTTCACTTATTTTATTGTCTTATTTTAAACTCTCTCTCCATTACTTCATTTGCACTTTGACAGAGCAGAGGCAGAGTATTTGTCTTATATTTCTCAGATTATAATGAATTTCTAATATAAAAGATCAGTATTATAACCAATTTATTTTCATTAAAGAACATGACTCTTTTTAGCATTCCTTTCTGCTTATCTTTCTTTCCTTATTCTTTCTTCCTTTGTTTCCATTTGGTTTGCTTTTGTCTTGTATTCTTTGCCAGTTTTTTTTTTTTTTATTTCATTAGCAACCTCTAGATGTTTCTGTTTATCTTCATTGATCTGTGATGGATTCCCTAGCAAAGTTCTAAGGCTTGCCTTTCTTCCCTGCTGTTTTAGTATTTCTCTGTAAAATGTTAGCTTCAATTAATTATCCATTGGTACTTATTGTAGCTACACATATTAAAAGACAAAATGTTTCTGCAGGCAGTTTCTTTCTCATATGCCCTTAATGAATGAGGCTTCATCCTTCCCACATTCTGCCTCCTTACGAGTTCAAATGCAGATAAGCCTCACCTTCCTGCACATGTAGTCTAATAAGTAAGAGGAGGAGAACAGGTCTACCACAAAGGTCACACATAATAGCCTCCCTTAACTGACTCTTTCTCTCTGTAATTGCAGTAACCTGAGCACTGGCAGTTTAATTTTCATCAGACATTTGAGTAGTTTAGTTATTTGACAAGAGGAGAATATGGTTGAAAGCCTCAAGTGAAGGGTCTTGCAGCTTGTAAAGGCAATTTCCAAAAATGAAACCCACTCATCATAAACAAAAGCACAAACACATGTAGCAGCTTATTATACTTTTGGTTTAATCTCAATTAGTCTTTCTCCCCTGGACTAGAAATCCAGTATAGTTTGCCATTAATTTATTGAATCTGGTTTTGGACAATGCTTCTGTAGTGTAGCTGCACGTCCTGGTACTGTATCCTCTGACCTTTATTTTCCATGTGTTACAAAAGGAAAAAAAATTGAGATTACACTGGCATAAACTCTAATTTGCACAGTTCACAGCTACTACTTGTGCAGTACTTGCTTTATGCAGCTGTAATCCATAACCTGTGAAGACAGCACATCATCTAAATCCCATTCCAAATAATACTTCTGTGTAGTGTTAGCTGTGAATTTACCCTGTACAGCTGTATCTCTATAAATATAATTCCATGTATTAATAGTCACAGAAAGACTGTAAGTGAGCAACTATTTTTATGAAACGCACCACTATGGATAAATTAACTTTTACAGAAATCTTGTTTACTGTATGATATTCTAAAACACTGTCAAATAAAATATATATCCAAAAATCTTTTCTTTTTCCAACTATATAGGTTGTGTGTTAATTTGAAATAGATTATTACCGGGGGTTAACTTCGTTTTTAAGAGTGCAGTTCACATAGATTTTTAAAGCATAAGTTTAGTGCCCCAGATAGGACTTCTTTGAAACTTGAATCTAAATGCAGTGGCATTTACGTGGAAAAGATTGTTGACTTTTTTAGCCCAAGTACACTGAGAGTTTTCTCACATCTAGTTGGTGTTTGCCTGTCAGCTTACTACATCATTTATGAATTGGCAGTACGTTTCTGTTGCTTGCTACATTGATTGATACTTGTCCTTTTTTCAAGAAGGATTTAAAGTATCAATTAGCAATAAATTCCATCACATTTTTTCCTTTTAATTCTGAAACTGTTTCATGCAAAATCCCAAGAAGTCATCGCTTAGTGAGGAGCAGTGTATAGGTCCAAAATAAATGGCCAAGTATAGCTTTTGTGTTGTATTGCAATACCTGTGGTAGGCAGAAGGGGAAGTTCTGCTTGAGTATTGAGTGCTTACAACCCTGTCATGGAATTTACAACTGAGAGGACTGTAATTAAATATTCCGTGCATCATTGTTATAAAAGGAAAGAAGTGAAATCAAACAAAATTTAAGATATGTGTAATAAATACATGCAGTTATTTATTAAATAATCTGAGAAAGGCCCAGTGCAAGCTGAAAAAGCAAAAGAGCTATACAACAAAGTAGTTAACAAAATGGGGTGTACATATTTATGATGTACAGCTAGTTTTTTAAAAAAAGTATTAGGATGAAATAAAAACATAGGAAATCAGAGGTCAAAGGATTAGGACAGGGACAGGGCATGGACTCGGCTGAGGCAAGTAAGACACCTGGCAAGCAAAGTAATCCACATGTCTCCAAGGCCAGGCAGGAAAATCTGAAAAAATGAAGGGAGCCAGTTGGGGACCGCCTGAAGGGCAATTGTGTCTTCCTCTAAAGCTGCTGTTTTGTCAAGTTCAATGTAGAGTGGTCTTCCAGTTTCTCAAGAGAAGGAAAAAAACCCAGCTCTCTAATTGAAATTTGGGAGCTGTTAAAGTTTGACATTTGTAAGAAACACTTGAACAAGAAGGAAAAAAAACTACCACAACAAACTACCTGCAGTCCACATCTGACCCACAGGCCACTGATTTGGAACCACACCCAGGCTATCCTCAAAGAATCCCTCGCTGTCATCAGGGTCTGACTTACCTTTCAAGCAGTGGAGGTGGAGACCCCACAACAGCTTGTGGCTGTTGAGGTACACACATGCCTAGAATAGCTTCAAATGTGCATTCTAAGCATGAGACACTCTTCCAGGAACCTGGTTGCTTCTCTGTACTAGAGGTGGATTTGCTGCAAAGCTAAAGAAATGGAAACTTGCATGGGCCCCAAATCTCATTTGAAAGTTTATATTCTCTTTTTAATGTGTGTCTCTCAAATTGTGTGATCTGTGAGTTTCCTAACATTGAATATGCCCCTGCCCTCTTGATACTGCTATTTCTCAAGCCAAACTAATAACAAAATCAAATGACCTCATTGCTAAAAGAATTTGGACCTTATAGAGATTTCTTTTTCAGACAACCATAGTGCCAGACAGGAAGCCAGTAAAATCACAAGAATGCATTCCAAGTCTTAAAATAGTAAGAGTCCTATGTCTAATGATAAGTTCTGCATCTCATCTAGTTTATGCGGGGCCCCAATTAAATGTGCAGAGATGATGATGATTATTGGTGGTAATAATAGCTATGGCTGTAAACATTTGGCTATAAAGTGGAGTGACACCCTAGAATTAAACTGAACCCTTGCTGGGCATTTGGTAGTCCATCACCCAAGCAACTCAGTGATCAGGGACTTCATAAAAAGCTTAAGTGTGTCCCACCACCCCGGGGTAAGGTAACTGGCACCCGCAAATAAGAGCCTTATTTCTTTTTAAGAGCTCTAAAAGTTTGATGAATCTGTGTCTAGGAGAGTGATTTCACCTGGAAAAACCAGGTACTCTGGGAAGCAACAAAGTGACCTTTGACTTTCTTTCTTAAGTGGAAGATAAACTTTCTAAAACCCTAACAAGGTGTGTCCGTGTCCACCTGCCCTGCACAAGGGCCATTTGTATTACAAATTTCCCACTGACACATTACCTCAAGTTGTAAAAACCTCTTGGGAGTTAAACAAAGGATCAACTGGAGGGAGGATCCAGACAGCAAAGCAGAGAGCCTCAATAAGAAATACGTAAGTGGACAATGCCTGCCTTTGTCCAGGAGCCCTGACAGTGTTCCTGCTGATCTGAGAATTAGCAGCCACATCTCTGAATTTTCAAATAAAGTCAGATTTTTTTCTGATTGAAAGTGTGATTTGGCTATTTGTCTGCCTCAACCACATAGGCTGGCTTTGCCAATTAAATTATACGGCAGATATTTTCCATCAATTAAAGGTATCAAAACTATAATTACCAGGTTTAACTGGAAATATATTTAAAGCATGCATACAAGAGTAAACACATCCTTTGCAGATTTAAATTTGTGACTTAAAAAATAGATATGTCAATTTAAAAATGAAATTGTGCCTAGTATTTCATAAAATTAGCCTCCCCCCACATCTTTAAAATGCAATCTTTTTTTTTTAATTATTTTAGGGGCTTTGTGAGCTTAAAAGAGCACTCACATACGCAAATCTCCTTAATTTGGTATAATAAAATTGTTTCAATAACTGTTGAGAGTCTACTATGTATAAAACACTACAGGTGAACAGAGCACAACCCTTATTCTCAAGTTGCCTATAACCTATTTAAAAGACCAGGATAATCAATACTTGGCAGAATGTGGTTGGTGCAACAGCAGGAATGCAGGATTCTGTAGAATGCAGAAACGGTTAGAAGTTGTCCAGGATAAGTGGCATTGTAGTTGGGTTTTGAAGGATGTGTAGGATTTCAAGAGGCAGAGGCAGTTTAAGGGAGAGAACAGCTTGAACAAAGAAAATTTAGAGGAATGTTTGGAAAATGGGAAGTTTGTTTATTTTAATTGAGGACCTACACGAAAGGGGGAGAGATTT